AATAAATTTCTTCATTTTATATTAAACAATTAAGTATAACTTAATAAATTCTAGTCAAATATTATAAGTATTAGAATTTCGTTGATAGATCAATTTTTTCTAAATATGATAAAATTTAATTTGTGATTCTGATGCGACTGTAAACAACGAATTAAAAAAATCTTTCAACAAATATCACTTTTAGTAGACTGACCACATACACACACAATAAATCCCTTTTCTCACGAAATACTACTACATATTTATTACTACATATTCAAGAATATATGAAGATAATGCAGATTTCCTAACCTCAAAAAAGGAAAGAAAGAAAGGTCATAAACTAGAAGTAATACAAAAATGTTGTCTGTATACAGGATGAAATAAGAAACAGTTACTGTGATATTACATCAAAGCGTAAGCAATCGATGCAAATGAGTGACGTGTCAACTACCTAGACTCATCCCTGAGTCTGCTTCTTAAGCGTTTACTACAATGGACACCTTTGTTCAAAGGGTTGCGGAAATTTATTTACGAATTGGAGGCGAAAGTACTATATGCACGACGCGCGTATATCCGTAAGGGTCAGCGAGATCACACGACTGATAAAGCGAATGCAACTGTAGGCTAGATTTGGTGAACACGAGAGAATCACAGATTGCGCGTGCGTGTACTAATACGAGTCAACGTTTAGACTATTGCGAATTGCGAGGCACATGCTAACTATAGTTATATATAAGTGCTAACTGGATTAAAATACCAACTAATGCAGTTCTGATGCTTCGAAGATATTTAATATCTCTATATTATTTTCTATTTCATTAATGATTCTTTACAATGTTGTTATTAACAGTTCCACACTCAATGTTCAACATTCGCATTCATTTCCAGCGCTTAATGTTACATGACATTGTACTTTAACGAGTTATTAATTAATTAAATGATCGATCTATCTGTTTTCAGTAAAAGGGGACACTTAACTTTTAATGTCTTCTTAGCTTTTAATGTCTTCTTCATAAAATTACCCGAAATAAAGGTATGTCCATTAATAATAATTAATAAAAAAATAGTTGAAAATCGTAGAAAAAAACAATGTATTTGTTGATTTTCTGATTGTAATGTCGTTCTATAATTAAACTGAATGTAGTATAACGTAATTGAGGATGAAGACGATCTGTTAGGTTCAAAAATGTAAGATTTTCATAAAAATAGCTCAAGTTGACAAAGTTTTGTGGAAGCTAAGGATACAATTATTAACTTTTTCGGGTCAAAGCCCAGATATTGCCCGGCATTGCGACTTTAGGGAGTCCAATACCTTCAGAAATTATGATTGGAAAGAGTTAAAAGAAACAATATTTTAATATCTTTAATATTCTAGCATCATGAAGGATAATATTTTGAAGATCTTAAAGAAGATGAAGGAACACATATTTAACTCTAAAATCAAATCAGAAGACAGCTTTAATAACGTTAGTATTGAACATAACAATGTACTGAATTTTAAAACTGCTTCCCCAGAAAAGACAAGAAATGTGTCTTATCGAAGTCTTCTTTTGCAGTCTTCAATTTTCCTCATAAGCTAAAAAATTTGATGCCGAAGAACTTTTGAAATTGAGGCTTTAATCATGTCAATCTCATTTAATTCCTTGTGGTCCTAATTCAGAAAACCTTCAACATTATATCTGCTCCAGGCGTATCGCGTATTTGTTAATAATGTTACGAAGCAAACTCATAACGTTTTCTGCGGCTCACGATGTTAACCATACATCGTATCACGACACGTCGGTTTGCCCACAATAACCAACATTTTGGAGCTCTCGACGTTAGCTATACGTCGGTTCGTCCCCCCGCTTAAATCCTTCGGCTACTGATGCGATTAACAACACTGGGTCAGCTGTACGAACAATTTCGTAACCCAGAAATAACACATCATACATAACTATAATATATTGTCTTTATTGAAACAAAAACATGATTATATATTATATACTTTTTTATTTTCATTATCTAACTAGTAGTAATGTAAATAATTAATTCGAATTAATTAGGTGTAGTACATTTAAGTACATATCAAAAACCCGTAACTTTACCGTTAATTATTAAATAATAGTTATATAACCTTCGATATTATTATTACTCTTTTTTGACTGAGAATCAAACTGAAATTAAATCTGTTACAAACAATGAAAACAATGAATAAAATATTTTTTACGCAAAGTACCTTACATGACATTTTCTACATATTCTACAACTAGAATTTTAAATTTTATACTATGTTTACATTATAAACCCAAAATGACAATGAACCATTTTCCGTTTAAAGTTTTTTTAAATATCATTAAAAACTTGAAAATAGACAAATGGATTTTTAAATTGTAACTAAAAATATTTTTAGCTTTTTATTACAATATCCATTCCCAAAGTGACACATCCAAATACACCCACATACACATTAACGTGTTGTATAATGGAAACGTCAAATTCAATAATACTTTATTTCAATTTAAATTGATATTTAAAAACTATATTAAACTTAAATGTATGTATATATATATATATATGTATATATATTTAGTTATTATATATATTTAAGTATTATTAATTTATATATTAATTAAGTTATATATATTTAAGTATTATTAATTTAAATATTATTAAAGTAAAGTTATTAAATAATTATATATACATTTAAGTTTAATATAGATATAACATTAATAGTTAGTTTAATATAACATAGAAAAAGAAAATAATTGTTGTTTAATTGTTCGCAATTAAATGAACAGCAAAATTTGACGTGCAGATTTAAAAGAGAAAAGGTGGGAAAACTTGTGGTACAAATTATGTGTAAACGACCGATGCGTTTCGGTCTGATGAATCTCTGACCCGCTATAAGATATTTCACCATCATGATTACATTTATTTCCTGAACTGTGTTGAAACAAAATACACTATATATATAATACATCTATCTTTAACGAATACAGTGAATAACTTTCTTGAATGAATTAAGGTATTAAATTTGCAAAAAACGAATAACAGTAATGACGCTGCATGGCCTATTAAATATCGAATTTTATATACGAGAAGAAACGAAACAACGACAAGACGAATGATTCGCCCATTTAATCATTTAAATTTAGTTTAACCGAACAATTATTTGTAGGAAATCTAAAAAGTAGTATCAAACATGACATATCATTCAATATGATAAAGAGTACAAAGAAACATATTTTTTGTAATTTGATTCAGTTTCAATATTCACAATAATGATATTTATGCTAAACCATATAATTTTATCTTGTTTTAAATTATCTTATCGTAATATGTTAACGGCCGTTGACGTAACAGTACGTTTCCTCACAACAAAGGTATAGCCAGAACACAATGTAACCAGTATTATTAGTGAAATTTCACAAATCATATCTGTTTGTAGTGAAACGAATAAAATTCTCAAAGTAAATTTTATAAATTAACATCGTCTGATCAACCTATTTCAACTAAAATTATAAACTTATTAAGAAAGAGTGTATAACCTATAATTTCCAATTTTTTGATTCGTTTATATTATTAGTTGATAAATTATTGTACAGGAGAGTTTAGCTACGCCAATTATCAACGGAGAAAAAGAGAATGTCTTGTATTTATTTGAATTAGTGATAGCAAGAAAACACGCGCACGCATTCTTCAATTTCTTAACCTTGCTTTAATTAAAAAAACATATAAATTTCTACATTAGAATTTCTATAAAATTACTATCTGTGAATGTGTTAATTAATATGTTTTCATATTTTAAAATATACCAAAACTTGAAGAAAAGGGTTCCAGAACCTTAATACCATTTCCTCACATTATATGTTATATTAATATTGTATTAATATTATATTACAATACCAATTACCATATACATATATGTATACCAATATTTATTATATTATTTAAGATGATATCATAATATCCTCCAATCATCCAATCCAATCATAATATCCTTTTCTATCGCGAAAAGTATTCTTAAAATCGTCCACAAACGCTTTAAATTGATATCAACGAACAAATAAAAATTTCAATCTTAAACCAACCAGAATATCGTACAAATATATTTACTTTCCCTATAGTAGTTAAACTGAATACGTAACCGGATGTATTCATCTTCGTTGCAAACGAGTGATATCTTCCTCTATCTTCCTCTGTCCCATTCCTGTTTTAATATCATATACAATTGAAATCCTCAATAAAACACGAAGAAAAGGATAATTTCCCACTCTTGCTTTAGTATCCTATACGGTTAAAATCTCCATGTTTATCATCATTAAAGCATCACTTTCCTCTCCTTAGATATTACATCTTCATTATCACAAGTGGATATACTTACGATCGAGAAATATACTCCAAACGTTTAGTAACGACAAGAAAGGCAGGAAGGGAGAGAAGAAGAAGAGAGCGAAAAGAAGAGACGCGCAGAAGACGATCCTAACGGTACCCCGGATATTTATAGCAGAAAAAGAATTACTTCAGAAAAATTATGCGCATGTTTACTGACTGTACGGAATCGGCCCGTAAACCGAGGGAAGCGTGCTTCCGCTCCTAGCTTGTGGTCCGCTGATCAAATTCATATGATCGAACAAAGAGGCCCCGCAACTTCTTCCTTGAGACGTCTCGAGCTCAGCCACCTGTGAACTTTGCTCAAAATTTGTCTTGGAACCACTTGTTCGTAGATCGCTTATCGAGTTCTTGTAATTAGACATCAATTGTGGCGATTGTAGATCCTTCGTCATAGTTAAATCCTCGTAGGATTTATGTAAATCTTGTTGGTTCGCTGAATGCTCCTTCGTCCGGTGAGATTGTTCCAAATTACATCTCCGAGGATAATTTCCACTTTCAGACACAGCTACCACCCGCCATTCGTCAAGACAGGAAGTTTTTTGAGATTTCTTTTGCTTACAGATTATGTCTCGTCGATTGTCATCGTGGGAACATTCGTCCTGAATGTTAGTCGCCTGACCTTCTATAGGGCGATCGTAATTTCGAACGGGAGACGCGTTCATCGTGTTCAACTGTTTCCTCTCAAAAGCTTCTATTTCTTCGTACTTTTCGTTCACTCTGAACAAGTCCAAAGGAGGTGGCACTTTTGCTATTTTCACTCTTCGTAAAGTTAAGCTCGTTGGTTCTCTGCAACTATTTGGTAGATCGACCTGTGACGCGAAATATCTGCGAGTCTTTTTGTTTTCTTGTCTGCCTTGTTCGTTTGGGATGTTCATTAATAATTCAGATTTTGCTCCTGATTTCGAATCACATTGAAGGGATAAATTTGTTGCTAAATTATTCGTAAAATTATTATCCGAAGAATTCGACATTTTTTCGTAAAAAGATAAATTTGGTAGGGATATGCAAAGATTTTGTAAAGAATCCCATCTATTTGTCGCTCGTGAAGTGAATTTATCTTTCATCCAAGTTTTGTCTTTATTAAATGGCGTTCCATTCGATCTGTTGGTCTCAGAAATGGACAAGTCCGATCCTACGGTATTGTCTACTAATTTGTAATTGTCCTGCAATCGATACGAATATTTGGAATCTTCAGGTTCTATATTTACTTCTTGTTCCTTTAGATTTGAAATATACACATCTTTATTTTGATTTTTGCTCAAGGACTCGTATTTCTCAGATTTATTAGTTTTGTTTGTTTCTTGCCGCTGTTGAAGTATATCCTTTGTCGTATATTTGATATTGGTTTGAGAATTCGAAAGTAGATCAAGTTTTTCATTACTACCACTAATTTTACCTTCTCCATTTTGATATTTACTCTCGTTCTTATATTCCAAGTTATGTTGATAACACGTCCATGCGTTTGATTCGTATTGACTAACTGTATCACATTGTTTAACATCATCTAAATCATACTTGGAATTATCCATAGAATTGAATTTTTGGCTAGGTACTAAACTGTTATTTAGAGTAGAATTTTTCATAGAAACTGCATTATGTAAGCCCGTAGATTCGTTCACTTGACATACCTCATTTCCTGATTCAATGTTCACTAACAATTTTCCATTTGTCGTGGTCGACATAATGCGTCCGTCTTCCATATGATCCACGTTTACCGAACTCTTCGAACAACTGGTCTTGTGAGAGAACTCGCTATTGCAAATATCTTCCTCGGCCTCAAGAGTGGTGACGTTCGATTGACACCTAGATTTCCTGTCGTTGCTACTTAAGGATGACTGATTGCTCTGACTGGTGATAGTTTCTGTACTTCCGAATCCGTTATATTTCAATGTCGAGCTGGGATTTTTGTTCTCAAGTTCCTTGGGAAAGTCACTAATATAATTGGTCGCATCGTCGTCTGGTGTGCTGGAGAAGAACTTTCTTCTCAAGTATCTGTTGCGCTCGAAGATCTCGTGCAGTCTTTCTCTGGTTCCACTATAAGCAGGCTCGTTGTCGTAGATCTTATTGTAAATCTGTGCGAAGCTGCCCTCGTTGAAAGAGTTTTGGGATCGATCTGATCGAAGCAACGAACTATGACATGTCTGATATTCATCGGATTCTTGAGTATTTACATTTTGACTTAAAGTTTTATTACAATGAAGAGGAGTATAATCTTTCTGCGTGTCATGCTGAAGATTCCCTTGATCGTAATCATAGAAAAAATAAGTTCTTTCGAACTCTGTCTTCGGTCTCCAGTTCCATCGATATATCTCTCCAGTATTATATTTTGAAAATTCATTGTTTCCTTGAAAATCTTCGTTCAATTCGTTACTAGGTTCTATCCAAACAGATGTTGCTTTTTGCATCTGAGGCATCGAATATCGATAATAATTATATCTCAATGGTTGCCGTCTAGGATGACGATGGTTATTCAAGCGACATAGTTGTTCCAGACCATTTATTTCATTGGTGAGAATGGTCCATTGAGGACTCTTCTCTAGGTCGTCGACGCGCGGTAAGTTTGCATTTGACATTTTCACTTTTTTTCGAGAAGTCTTTCAGTGTTCGAACATAACACTGTTCGTTAAGGATATTTGCACATTGTCACCTTACATTTGCGAATAAAAGTGCTACAAAAAGTATGCACTGTCTAATTGTAGAGGATTTTTTCAAGGGTATGACAAGATTATACGCTTACGAATTTCTATGAAATTGGTAGAAATTTGATTCTTCAGGCATTTTGTATTACTTTTATTATATTAGATTGTTCCAACAATTTCTTTCGTTTTTCTAAAATTTTTCGTTGTCCTATTACTACAAGATGGGTCATACATAATTCCACAAAATAATATAAAGCAAAAAATGTTGTGTATCTGTTATTTCCTTATAAAACGAAAGAAACATTCGGGACAACTTAATACTTATAGCTTAATTTAATTGTATTTATATCATGAATTTTACTTTTACTACATGTATTCGTATTAAGTTGGTACATATGGAATGCCATTTTCCAAATAAAACGTTAAACACAAGTAGTTTCTTCAAAAAACTATATAGTTAATCAAAGTAATTTCTACACTAATTCAATGCATTTTCCCAACAATTATAATTTGTAAATTACAAGTATAATAAGAATTACCAATTCTAAAGTTAAAAAATTCTTGAATATAAATATCAAAATAATTTATGGCTCAAAAATTGTTTGGTTAGTATGAAGGATGAACTAAGGACACCTTAGTCAAAATTAAATTTATGTTACCAACAATTTGCATAACATACTTTCTAAATCAAAACTCATATAGGATAAAAGGTGCCTTTCAAAGAAGATATTATCGACTTCGAAAAGCGCTAAAGGGTATGAAATAATTTCTATTTTATTTGTATTTTAGTTAGACACATATGCAACAACGGTTAACAGTGTGTCACATATCATTTCGCAGTAAAAGTAGACTTATCTCAAAAACGAAACCGTAGAATAATATTTCCTCTTAGGGAAACATAAATTGAAGCCTATATTGGGAAACGGAATTTCAAACCCTTCGCTCAGATCATCTTTGAAATCATCTCGATATCAGTCTAACAATTGCGGAGCAATCATTAAACATGCGTAAATGAAATTAATAACAACGAACTATTGTCATTGTTAACTATAACAAGGAAAAATTGGAGAAATTTTGCAAACGGGACCGATCGATGGACTATTTATAAAAGATGCAAAAAGTTTTATTTCGATAGCTTAATCCAATCCTGAGTAATCGATGAACATACATACAAATTGAATTTTTGCACAAGATTATTAGTAAAATTATTCGTATTAATAATTGCATTCCTTTCGACTCAATGAAATACATATATGTATGATATTTATTTTATGAAAATGATTACTGTATTCGAAAAGCATAATGAGAGCGTTATTGTCTTCCTCCCTTTCTTTGTTAGTTCAGTTTTCTAACGTAGTTCGGTATACCATCATACGAGAATCCAGGTAGTTCAATGATATTTTTGTATTTAATTTATTTATTATTTATAATATATTAATATATCTATTATACAGAAAGATTGTAATGAAGTACTTCAACTCCCACTACGATGGTTTTGAATCCAGAGACGTCACGTTGAAGAGACGGGACTTGTGACCATGGGAAAGAGGGAATGTTTGTCATCAGGAATGGACGGAGAAAACCAAACTGAAATTTGGGTGACGAAACTATCAAACAGTAATTATCGATCATAGAAAATCGAGATGAAGTGGTATCGGAAAGACAAAGCACTATTAGATTTGGTTTGACTGATATTTAATTGAATCCGAGTGTCACAGAAGTGCACAGAGTAGTTGATATCGCAAGTGAAAATAAGACGACCACTGGAATTGGCTTAAATGTGGAGGCAAATCAACAGGTCCATATAGAAGAATATTTAAGTGCACATGAAACGTGGAGTATATTAGAATAAGTCCACTAGCTAGAATCCAGAATACGGATTATGCGACTAAAGAACGAGTTTTATCATCTAAAAATGAAGAATAATAAAAACATGCCTGCTTATTTGGCCAGAATTAAAATAGCCGCGATGAATAATATTTAATAAAATATAAGCGATGAAAACGTAGTATATAGATACTTTATTAACCGATTTTCCGTATAGTTACGAAAACCTAAATATGCAATTAACACATTTACAAGGCGGTAGATTCGCTTCAGTTGAAGTAAAAAAAGTGTTATTGATTGAATGTAATACGAGGATGTCAAGAGGAAACTGAAGGAAATTGAAGGTGAAATACCCAAAAAAACTTTGTACATTAGTAAAAGAGCGGTTACGAAGAAATATAACAGTGACAAGATGAAATCGACGATGTGCTTTATCTGTAAGGATAGCATGCATATGACAAGAGACAGTCACACGAAATTAGAGAGAGAGAGACAGAGAGAGAGAGAGAGAGAGAGAGACAGACAGAAAAATATACGAATTCAAGCTAGAAAGGGATTATGATAAATTTCTAGTATCGCTAAATATCGTAGACATAGGGGACAAAAAGCTTTTAAATAGTGGATACAACCTTGTGCAAAAGAAAAGAGTAGTTCATAGACTTTCATGAATTAAACTCAGAAATGAACTCGATAGCAGACCGAGCAGAACCAAATGGTACAATTTCAAAACAAAGTGCATGAAAAACGTAATGTTGAAAACCCCTGTCAATATTAAGCTCACAAATCTCACAAATTGAAGGAAAGGCAGGCGAACCAGGTATGTGAGTTAATACATTCCGGCATTTATGGTCATTTACCAGTCAACTCGTTAGATGAAAGCAGATATTTAATGAAATATAAATATAATACACTTACTGATGTTTTTTCTCGAAAAACTATTGTTAAATGCATGAAGACCAAAGATGAAGCACAAACGCATATCGGAGATTATATGTCCAAAGCGAAATGAGAATAGAACAAAAAGGTAAAAAGATTCAGGACAGACAATACATTCTGCAACGAGGATATAAAAACTTATTTTAGAGAGCTAGACACAAACCCCGAGAGGTCTGATGTGGAAACGTCACAAATGGCGTCGCAAAGAGAATTAATAGAATACTGACATAACAAGATCAATGTCACGTCAGCTTGTTTATCTCAAAAGTTTTGGGCCGAAGCAGTGACAAGTATACAGCATTTACGAGTACATAGCTGCTCAGCATATGCTAGCTTGTGTAGTATACAATTACAATGTAGTATCAATTACAATGCAAAATATGATTACAGTCAAATATGTAAAGTTCGTCGAAGAAAAGATAGGATACGAGTGAATATATAAAAGAAATACTTAAAGTTGGAAATTTAATCAAGGCATGATCAAACGATGAATGTATAAATCAATAACCGAAAACCTTAATATAATTGCGATGCCAGAGAAAAAATTGGATACCACAGGAAAACTATCACCGAAGGAAATAAACGTCACAAAAAACAAAGAAAATACAGAAATAGTGGAGACAGTATACTTAAAGAAGCCAGGAAAGTAAGGCAGGCCAAGAAAAATGATCAAGAACTCGTATGTAGGAAAGGGGCATCCGAAAGGGGCATCCGAAAGGGGCATCCGAAAGGGTCTGACAGCAGGGTACCGACATTGAGAGTAAGAAAATGGAGAGCAACATTAAAGCAAATTTTGTGTAGTTAATAGAGCAGCAAAGTTTAGCAGAAGCAGTGGGCTCGTCATAGGCAGAGAAATGGAAATACGTCATACAGGAGGAACTCGGCACTTTGGAAAGTAGAAATACATAGTAAATAACGGAGTTACCAAAGAACAGGACAGCTATCGATCGAAGTGGGTATGAAAAGCCAGACAGACTCCGAAACAAAAATTATAAGATATGAAATTAAATTAGTTATCTAAAGATTCTCACGGATGAAAGAAATTGATTATTCAAAAACGTACTTCTCAATAGCAAATTTTTCTATAATAAAGATATCGTTAGCGTTAATGGCGGAATTTAACTGGTGTGCTAGGCATGTGGACATAAAATATGCATATTCGTATGGGAAATTAAAAGGAGGTATTTATATGCCAATACTGCTTTATGACGCCGAGACAAGAAAGAAAGTAAAAAAATTAAGGTTAAATACAGAAAAGTGAAGGATCGTAGATTGTTCCTGTGTTGCACAGTGTGACGGGGTTATTGTCTCGCTCTTCTTCCTTCCGTTACGTTCTAACGTATTTCGGTATAGTGAGCGAATGCATGTAAGAATGCGTTATTTTTGTATTTAATTCATTTATAACGTAAATTATTGTGCAAAAAGACTCTGATTAATTATTTGAGCGCTGCTATATTTTATAATTTATAATTGCAATTCATTAAAATCTACATCACTAATACATACTGTATGTATATTTTCATCATTAAACGGACGATCAATGAGTTTATTTTCTGATAATACTAAAGAAGTAGTTACTGTGTCAGATTTTCTTTTGATTTATGAGGTTTGATAATATCCGGAAAAATTATGAGGTTATTTACCTACTTGTTAATGAAAACGAATTAAAAAAGAATAACGAGCTGAAGTTAAATGGGAATTAAATAAGTATCTATTTAATTAATATTTAATTGCATAATTTTCGCATTACGCAAAAATTTAGTATTTTTTCAAATGTCCCAAGTGCTTCATTTTATAACATTTCTTTTATTTTTTTAATTCTAAAACCGATTCTGTATATGTCGTTTTATTATAAAATTTATTATCGATAAGTTAATTGAAAATGAATTATTAATACAGAAATTGGATTGAATGGAATGAATTGGAAGAAATTGGAATGAATTTCTATATTTCTACATATATGGTTACAAAAAGTATTGAATTCTTATTCCTCCAATGAATTTTTCTAATCATACAAAAGTTCTACTAAATGATACGAAATTTAATATATTTGAACTCAATCAATTAGTATGTAAATATAATACAGTTGTGTCGAAATACTTTTCATAGTCACCGTATATTATTAAATAAAGATACAATCAATAGCATCGTACTGTACACGATATTAAATACTTTGGAAATTAATTGTATCAGAGGTACCGTTAATTGAATCGTAATCAGGAGAACTTATATAAAGTAGTAAAAATATTTGTAAATAGATTCAAAGA